CAACCCAGGGGGCATCCTGGCAGAGAGGACCCCCTCCTACCCAGCCACCTCCTCCTGAATGCCACTGTTCTGACCTTGAGGAAGCAGGGGGCCTGGCCACCTGGGCTCCAGCGTCCTCTCCTGCTTGTGGGGACTCGCTTGTCACCCCACCCCCGGGAAAGTCCTGGGGGAACGTGAGCCAGGGAAAGGAGCGCGCTGGGACGCGCAGGAGGTAGAGGCCAAGGTCGCCCCCGCGTGGGCTGAGTCCAGACAGAGCCCAGCCCTGGCCCAGCCCCGCGTGGGCAGAGGTCGGGGTGGGCGTTGGGGGTCACGGGTCGAGGCCACGCCAGCCCGGCCACGTGTCCGCGGAAGGCGGGACTGGGGTCCGTGCGAAACGGCCGAGAGGAACAGGAGCGCGCGAGAAGCGCCCAGAGCTTGCTGCCCCGCTCGGCACCGCCGGGAGAACCGCGATGCGCCCGCGAACCCAGAGCTCTCCCCCAAGCCCGGGCGTATTCTGGGGGGGACCACGCGCCCCCACCCGCCGGGCCTCGGGCCCCCGCCCCACGCCCATCGTCCACTTCGGGGTTCGGGCGTGGCCGCCCCCAGCTTGTCGCCGCTCCGCCCTTCAGCCGCACCCGCGTGGGCAGCGCGGCGAGCCGGGTCGGGGCCGCGCATCCTGGACCGAGAAGGGCGGCGGGGTGCTGGCCGGGCCCGGGCACTCACCGAAGTACACGGTCTTGTCGCACTTGGGGCACTTGGAGGCCATGGTCGGTGCGCGCCCGTTCAGCCCGTGTCCTCCGCCCGCGCCTGTCTCCCCGCCGCCGCCGCCGCCCGCCCGCCCCGCCCGACCGGCTGTCTGTGCTCCCATTGGTCTGCGTCCGGGGCGGGGCGTCGGGAGCCCGCCCCCGGGGTCCGGGCGCCGCGGGGGCGGGGGCGCACCTGCAGGGGCGGACGGGGGGCGACGGGGCCTGCCGGGCGCCCCTGGGTCGCGCGCGCGAGGTGGCCTCTACCCAGACCCGCCCTGTCCTCGCCTGTTTCCATGGCAACGTCGGGGCAGCCAGCCGGGCCGCGGGTGGGGCTGGGAGTCCGCGGCCCCCTCGACTGGGGCCGTCCTGGCCAGCGGGGGCCTCGGCCCGGAAGGGCGGCGTCGGGACAAGCAGACTGACTCCCCGACGGCGGACAGGCCCGCCCTGCCCGGTCCTGGCGCCCGGGTCCCCAGGGGAACCCTACCCCACCCTGCCGAGCGCCGCCGCCCCGCTTCCCTTTGTTGCTCGGTTTCTATAGCAACGGCCTTGCGGTGGGATAGGAGCGGGATTCCGGGCGGGCGCGCCACCGGTCCAGGCCCGGTCCCGGCCCCGCCTAACACTGTCAGTGGTGCTGAAGGCCCAGCGGGTGGAGGGCAGGGCGCCCGCCGCTTCCAAAAACAGCGCGAGAGAAACTGCTGGAAGGGGGTTGGGGAGGGGGTGCCTGGCAGTGAGGGGACCCGCGGGGCTGTGCTGCAGGCTCTGAAGTTATCCTCCCCAAGCTGTCCCACCCGAGGGCGGTAGGGAGGGGAGGGGAGGAGGGAGAGGAGATGTGGGGCCCCTGGAGTGCCCCTTTGGCGGGTGCTGTGGCCGGCCAAATGGGCGGGCCCTGCCGTCAGCTTCTACCCCTATACCCTCCCCCGGCTCCTGCCACGGGCATCCCTCGTCTGGACCCCACTAGCTTAGGGCCCAGGGCCTCTGACCTCCAGCTTGGTGGCGCCAAAGCACCCTCCTGGAGGGCAGGGGAGCTAGGGATCTGCCAGCATTCAGGGTCTCTCCCCGGGGTCCACAGCCCTCCTGCCAACAGGGACCTACCTGCCTGCCTGACCACTCCCACCCTCCCTACCTGCACCTGGAGCCATGCAGGACCCGGCCCTAACCCAGGGTTCTGGGGGACCTGGAGGACGCTGGGGCCACCTCCCAGGGGCTCTGCCTTCTCATGGGCTCTCCTCTGGACCTCCATCCCCAGCTGAGCCTCAAGTCTGGCAGATGGACAGACCCCCAAGCCCAGGCGACTAGGCCCAATCTGGGCAGTGGGCTCCAGCCCCCTCACACCCTGCCCTGTGTCTTTGAGGCTCTGTGCTGGACACTGAGGTCTGCCCCCCCACTCCCCATTTCCTCTGCCTGGTGGCGTCCGGCGCCTCTTCTGGCCCCCGGTGCCAGCGTGTTCACAGTGGTTGGGTGAGCCAGTCTCACAGGGCAGTTTCATGGCAGCCCTGCCGCGGCCCTGCTCCCGGCGGTGCCCCCACCCATTGCACTCACACCCTTCAGCCAGTGCCATTTCCGTGAGTGAGGACAACAGCCCAGAAACATGTGGCCCCCCTCAGGCCTAACTGACCAGCCTGGCTGGCCCCCTCTCCCTCTGCACTTGGGCTCTGGCCCCGAGCCAGCCAGGGCAGAGACCAGAGGGGAGGCCTCAGCAGGGCCCCCTTCTTGGACAAGGTGGCCTGCAGGTCAGTCATTCACAGCCCGCTCCTGGCTCAGGCTGGGTGTCCGGTGTCTCTGAATAATTCATGGGCCCACTGCCCCCCACTTGGCACCTGTTACCACCTCCTCTGTAGCTTGGGAGCCCCCGGGGACCCCCGGGCATCAGCCTCCGTGACTCCACCCCGCCCCTGAAATTTGCAGGACTGCTGTGGAGGGCGGACTGGTTGGGCACTGGTGTCGCTCAGCTTGGAGAGTGCATGGGGGTGGAGCAAAGGAATGGCACTGGGCCCTGGCCAGATGCCCTGGAGCCAGGGAGGGGAGAGTGGGGCGGCGCAGGTGCCCTGCCGCCCAGCTGCAGTGCCTGGGCTGATGGCACCGGGGCTGTCGTGGGCCTGGCGGGAAGGGGCACAGATCGCGGGACACAGAGCAGCGGCATATGGCTCTGAGGGCTAGAGACTGGGGCAGGTACAGGCTGGGCCAGCTCCCGGTGAGCAGGCCGTGGGGCTGGGTGAGGACAGCAGGTTCACGGGAAGCAGGCAGGGCCTGCCCTGAGGTGGCCAGGCCAGGTGGCTAGGTGTTAAGGAAGGTCCCTCCCCTAGGGCCGCAGAGCTGGCAAATGGCACACGCAGAAGCCCAGTCTCGCTTTCCCACAGGGCCCCCAGGGCTGTGCCCAGCGGTGGGCAGTGGGAGGTCCCAGGCAGGGCAGGCGTCCAGGCTGAGTCCCTTGTGGGGACTCTTGTCCCCCTGAGATGGCCCTGGCCCTGGGGGTTGTGGAGGAGATGGCTACAGCCCCCTGCCAGGCCCACGAGAACACGCCAAAGCTGGCAAACACTCCTGGGCACCCAAGACCTTGCTCCCCCCATCCCATACCCACCTCCCACCCCGCTGCTAAGCCTCGGCTCAGACCTCCCAGGCAGCAGAGAGGCAGACACCCAGCCCAGGCCCTGCCCAGCACAGTGCTGGGGTGGGGGCGGGGGACCCCCCCAGCTCGGCTCTCCGCAGGGCCTGCCTGTCCTTGGGACAGAGATCTCGACCAGCCTGGGGGGAGGGCCAGGTTGGGGGAAGGGAAGTCAGTCCCTGGGGCCTGGGGAGAACCCTCCCCTCCCCTCCCCACCCCACCCCACCCCATCCTCAGGCCCCAGGATTGGAAAAGGCCCTGGAGGAAGCTAGTGTCTTTCTCAAGGTCACCAGCCAGGCCTCCCAGCCCACCACCCCCCCCCACCCCCCACCCCACCTCTGCTGACACTGCAACGAAGCCCTGGGGCAGCAGGGGCAGCAAGGGGTGGTGCCAGGACTGCAGATTAGAATTGGCCGGGGCGGGGTGGGAGGAGGGGGGCGCCACAGCCACTCCTCTGACACCTTGGCCCGCCACCCTGCGGGGGCCCTGCAGCTGGGTGCTGGAAGGCCAGGATGCCCCTTATCTGTCTCCAGCGAGGGAGCAGGGTGGTTTCTATTTCAGTTCCCCAGCTGAGATGCCCACACGTCACAGTGGGGCTGAAGGCACAGGAGGCAGAGCTCAGGAAGGGGAGCCCGTTGGGGAGGGCCTTGCTGACCCCCTCAGCCGGCGGAAGTTAGCGTGGCTCCCAGACCCCTCCCCGCAGCGGCCTGGTCGCACCTGTCCCCTGGGCCCGGAGCGGCTGTGCAGGGGCCAGCCGAGGCAGGATGTCTGAGAGCGGACTTGCTGAAATCTGAGCAAACTCTCCCTGTGGAAACTCCACACCTGCTAGGGGTGGCCCTGCAGTTCCTGGCAAAAACCCGCAGACAGCTGGGGCAGGGCTCTGCCAGGAGCAGGCTGGCCGGCCGGCTGACCCAGCTATGCTGGCTGCCCCGACGGAAGCCAGGCACCTGCCAGTCTGGGTCCCAGGCCAGGTCCAGACCACCCCCTGCCTTGAACAGATACAGGGGGTCTCCGCTCCACGCCCCCCCACCGAGTGAGTGCTAGTGAGCCCTGGTTGGACCTCTCCCTGCTCCCAGGACCAGGTGGTGGGCATCGGGCCAGGGCCTCCGGGAGGCAGGTATGCGGGCCAGGCCTGCCACGCGCTGCTCGCTGCTCGCCAGTGCCTTTCCCTGAGCGTCCACCCCCATGGCGGGCCGGGAGAGCCCAGGCTGGGGGCGCCTCTGGAGCCACCCTGGCGAGGGAGCCCGAGGCCAGCGCCGGCTCTGCCCTGGGGGTGAGTGGGCCCAAGACAGGGAGAGGACTAGGGACAAAAGACACGGAAAGGACTAGTTGGATTTTTTGTTTTTATGAGTTTTTTTCTTTGTTTTTTTTTAATATGAAAATTACTTGAAAAGACAAGGGGCCAACCCCACCAGGCAGCTCGGCTGGCCACTGGCCACGCCGATCCTAACATTCCAGGTGTAAGTTACAGAGCTTAAATTCATCTACAAAAAAAGTAATAAAAATAAAATTTAAAATGGCACCTTCAACAGAACACAAGGAAACTCCCGGCCGGCCCGCAGGCCCGCGTCACAGGGCGAGCGCTGGGGCGGCCTCTCAGCTCCGCTCTGGCCAAAAAGTAAACACAAGCTAAAAAGGTGACTCCTCGGCAGCCCTGGAGTAAGTTAGGCAGCGCTTCCCCCCGTTGGGGGCCGAGGAGCAGTCTCTCT